GCCCGAGGCCGGGTCGGTCGGCAGAATTAACACTGACCTCGAGAGGCGCGCAGGGCCCAGCCGCGCAGGGCCCAGCCGCGCAGAGCCCAGCCGCGCAGGGCGGGCTCGTCCCTCCTGCCCGTTTCATACACAGCAACGACTGCGCGACTGGGGAACGTCGCTGACAAGCGGGGCTGCTCCTAGTAGTAAAGCCAAAGCAGCGTGAATGTCGTTTTATCTCTGACCCAGCGCAGTTTGTTAGCTCACGCTCTGCTGTGAAGCTTCCCCTCCGCTTTACGCGCGGAGAGCTGCAGGCCAGCTCCTTTTCACTCCCTTACGCTTAGGAAGCATTTGAGTGTAGCAGATTTTTTGAGGGGAAAGCCCTTGCACAGGACTCTTTCCTCGCGCCATTTCAAATGCTCGAATCTGTGAGAAGAAGGGAGGCCTGGACTTGTGAGGGTGTTGTCAACGCCCGTTTACAGTTCACGCGGGGACCAGGCGGCACCGGCAGGGCCAGCAGGGTTTGAACCACAGGGGCCAGGAGGTTTGAACTTCAGTCCAAGGTACAGTAAGCAAGTAACTCCCGCACAGAACGTTTAACTAGAAGAGGCTAAACATTTCCTAGGAGAAATTCCTCGGAAAGTGTTTATACCTTTTCTACTGGAGGAGCCTCCGTTAACTGAAGCCTTTGTGCACTATTCCTCTTCTCTAGAGAAATTCTAATGAAGAAGGGATTGGGAGAAGTTACCTCACTTGGCTTTGGCAAGAAGGCAAAGCAATGGGCAGAGTTTTCACAGCCGGAGCAAAGAAAGCCAAGGCATGTTTTGCAGGTCGTTTATTGATTTCTCCAACAAATAAGGCCACGCACACACATACACCTCGTAGTATCTGACCATTACAAGAGCTTGGTGAGTGACCCACATTTCATCCTCAGCAGCACGCGTGCTAAAATGTGAGTTGGAGACCCCGATAGCTGCACAGGAGCCGTTAGGTGGAGAGGGAGAGCCTTCAGCCCAGGTTTGGTACTACAAGCACGTTCCGCCCTGGAGCAGCAGGGGAGAGTGGTTGTCCAGTGAGGAGGAGCTGGGCTGGAGGTGGGAGTGGAGCGCTGCGCAGGTTCCTGAAGGTCAGGATGCTAGCTTGTGCACTGCTACAGTGATGCTGTCGTGCTTCTGGATCATGATATTCCTAGAACAAGAAAAGTGCTGAGGCAGTTGAGAAACCAGCTGCGACGAGGAGGACCTGACGTGGGTGGGAAACCGGACAGGGGTATCCCTCAGCGGCCGCAGCAACCCCCAGCTCTGGTTGCCGCGTCTCTCCTGCCCCCTCCCATGACCAGCG